CAAAAACAAACAAACAACAACAACAACAACAAAAAAAACCCCCACAAAAACTGGATTTCAACCTGCCAAAGATTAAGACTAGATCCCTATCTTTCACCATGCATTAAACTGAAATCCAAATGGATTAAAGATCTAAATATTAAAACAGAAACACTAAACTTTCTGGAAGATAACTTAGGTAGAACTCACAAAGACATTGGCATAGGAAAAGACTTTGTGAACAAATCCTCATTTTATTAAATACTGCACTGCAAGAAAAGCCACCAACAGAGCTAGGAGATAACTTATAAAGTGAAAAAATTTTTACCAGCTGTTCCTCAAAGGTCTAGTATCTAGAATATATAACGAAGTAAAATCAGAACCCCCAAATATAAGGACTCAATTAAAAAATGGGCATCTAAAAATGAACAGACACTTCTTAAGACAAACAAGTAAAAGCAGCAATTAAGTATATGAAGAAATGTTCAACATCACTGGTTATTCTAGAGATGCAGATGAAAACAACACTGAGATTCCACCTTACCCCAGAAAGAATGGCTGCTACCAAGAAATCAACCAATAACAAATGCTGGCAGTCACATGGGGGGAAAGGAGCCCTTCTTCATTCTTGGTGGGAGTGCAGATTGGTGCAACCATTGTGGAAATCAATATGCAGATACTAAAAAAACTAGGATTAGAGATCCCATTTGACCCAGCTATCCCTGTGCTGGGTATCTTTCCAAAAGTATTGAATCATACCACAGTGATATATGCACGTGCATGTTCACAGTGATACAGTTTGTAATAGGTAAAACTTGGAAATAGCCCATCAACTGGAGATGGATAAAGATATATTTTTTTTTATAAAAGAGTACTACATAGCCATAAAGAATGAGAAACTAGAGTTATATATAGCTAAATGAATGCATATCGAGACCATACTCTTAAGTGAAATAAATAGGACACATGTAAATACCAAATAGTTTCTCTGGTGTGAAAGACTAAAAGTGTAAATGGGGTTAAAATTGTGTAAATTGATAATGTGAAATAGGAAGAAATGGCTATAGGAATAGGGGAAGTGGGAAGCGTAGGGGAAAGGAAAGAAGGGAAAAGAAAAAGATATGAGAATATGAAAAAACGGAAGCAAAGTCTTTGTAAATAGGGAAGGGTGGAGGGGGTGAAGGGAGGGTAGGGGTAAGGAGAAAAATGAGAACCAGATTACATCATGTAAAGGCACAAGATCCCAATGATGAATTTAACTACTGTACTATCTAAAAATAATAAACTTAATGAAAAAAGAATCTGAGGATTGGTACATTGCTATCAGATCTTTGCTGAAGTTCCTGTAAAATTCAGTAGTGAATCCAGTGGGTCCTGGGCTATTCTGAATTGGCAGATTATTATTATTGCCTGGTATTAGATTGTTCAGGGTTTGTGTATCTTCTTGGTTCAGTTTTGGTAATTCATACGTATTTAGTAATCTACCCATTGTCCATTCTAGATTATTATTGAAGGATGGGTTTTTGAAGATTTAAAACTCTGGATTTCTGCCAGGTCCATTGTAATTTTGGCTTTATTTCTTTTTCTTTTCTTTATACCAGGGATTGAACTCAGGACCTTGCACTTGCGAGGCAGTGGCAGCACCACTGAGCTAAATCCCAGGCCCTCTTCGTTTTTGAACCTAGAGCCTTCCCCTTGTGAAGTACGTGCTCTGCATGCTGAGCTACCCTCCTAGCTCACTTTTGTAGAAAATAACTGATTGCATTTATGTGGATTAATTTCCATTGAGATGTTCTTAAACCCTTTTGTCAACATCACACTATCTTTATCAGTGTAGCTTTATAGTAGTTATTGAAATCAAGAGAATTACTTTGTTCTTTTTCAAGTTTTTTGTTAAGATGCCCTTGAGGAAGTTCCCTTTATAATTACTACTTTGCTACAGGATATTTTTCATTTTTTTAGAAAGGTGCAAATGTATGTTAAATTTTTAATTTTCATTAGTATAACCAGTTTAATGTAGTATTTTTAATCGCAAATATATTTTGATATCAAATGGTTTTGTCAAATGCTTTTTCTGAATCTACTGAAATGATCATGTGACTTGTCCTTTTAGTTTATATGTCATGTTGATTTTTCACTTTTGATCAAATCTCATATAAAGACACTTGGTTATAATGTATTTTATATTGTGAAAATGTTAACTTTTGTGTCTGCTTTTGAGAGTCTGCAGTTCTTTCAGTGAATTTATAATTTCATGAAGTTTTTCGTTTTGAAGGTTTGATTTTGTGTTTTTCTTTGTGGAAAATAGCGTCTTTTGATTCAAGTGTTTGTTGCCACCTGTTATAATCTAGATCTAAAATGTTTCCAAAAGCCAACTGGTTACCCGTTGATGGGCTTTTAGGCGACTGGATTACGAAGACCAACACTTCGATCAGTGGATTAATTCATTGATAGATTCTTAATTTGATGACATTAGGGAATTATGTAAAACTGGGAGATGAACCTAGAAGTGAGTGATGTACTCTTGGGAGCCATTATCTTGTTCCTGGCTCCTTCCTCTCTGGCTGTTTACTGCTGTGAAGTAAGCAGTTCTGGTCCACCAAAGTCTCTACTTCACTGCCAGCTAACCACACACTGAACCCTATGAAACTGTGAGCCAAAAGAAGTGTTTGCTGCTCTAAGTTTTCTCAGGAATTTTGTTACAGCAAGGGAAAGTTAACACCAAAAATAAAGTCAGGTGGTATGTGGAACAAAAAACAGTTGAGACCAGACCTGAATGTGGTGGCACCATCAAAGATGGAGGCCTGGGTGGAAGAAAAACAGGAGGAAGGCTGTCAGCATGGACTCTTTCCCAGTATTTCCTGGCTGTTTCTGAAAACTCCCTTATAGACACATCCTGAAGTGTGCTTCTCTAATCTGTGTGTTTAATCCAGGAAGCTGATAAGATTAACCACATTATGTCATGAAGCACAGCAACATTTTGGCTTAGTATTGGTATCTGTTGTATTTTCCCTTGAGAAATGGTCACATTTCTTTTATCTTTTGTATATCAAGTATTTCCTGGTTCTTTGCATATCAAATTTTGGATTGTATCTTGAACATTTTCAGTATTATTGTGATGAGTCTTTGCAACCTGTTAAAATAGTTTTATTTTCATTTAATTGTTTTTTAAAGCAGGGGCAGGCATTTATCCTAGATTGAACTAGTTCTGCCTTGCTTTCTGTAGAAAATGGTTCCAAATTCGTTTTCATAGTTTGTCACACTGCTTTGGGTTTGGTCCCTCAGATTAGCCTAGGATTTTGGTATGGTTTGTATCTTAGTTTTGTTCTGATTGTTGCTTTATGTACAGCTCAGCAATGAGCCTAGACCTTGCATCACATCGTATGCAAAGTTAAAGGATTTTCTTTTCCAGGTCTCATTGCTCCAGTATTTCTCTTTCCAGGTACCAATCGACCCCCACCCCCACCAACCCTGGCTCTTTTAGCCTTTTAGCTAGAGATGGGGCTCCTCAAGTTGTGGCTACCAATGATGTCATGCAGTTCTGTGACTCAGTCTCACCAAAGAAATTAGAAAAAAGAAAGAAAACAAGTAATTCCAAGTCTCTCCTTATTTCCCTGAGCCATTTTCCTGTGTGGAAAGGATTTCCTCTTGGGATTTTTAGGTGCCTATACTTCCACTACCAGAGTGTTACTTTTTTTCATTGCTGAGACAAAAAACCCAACACCCAAAGTTAGAGTGGGAAAAGTTTATTTGGCTTACAGTTTGTAGAGGTTTCCATACATAATTGGCTGGCTGTAAGGTAGGATGGCAAACAGGCATCCCAGAGGAGAAACAACATGGCTGCACAAGGTAGCAAAGGCAAGAAGAGACTTTTAACAGTCAATTTCTGCTCCTTTTATCTTGCTCACAGGAGTAGAGTGGGGCCAAATCAACCACTCACATGTAGTGGTTTAGTATTCACAGGCCCTTAATCCTAGCATCACATATTCCAGATTTAGCTACCTTCAAAAAGGACTGCATGAGGCTTTGGGGAAACCTCCAGACATAAGCCACAACACAGTAACCTGGCTAACCCTTGACTTGACAACCTGTTAACTAGGGGTTGCTCTCAGAGCAGGAACAGAAAGGAAAAAAATTGATAGAAGTAACTGAACATGGGCTATTTATACTAAATGCCTACAGTTTTAAAAAGACAACCAGACTGCTATGTGACTGAACTGGTTCAGTGTTCTGTGAATAGGAACAAATAACTCAACCTTTGTTATAATGATTATGGAAAGACATTAAGAACAGATAAAATGAGAGGGATTTGGAGACTGAATATTTTTCTGTAGAATAACACATATTTCAAAAGGAGATGAATGGAAAAATAAAATGAAAATGAAAACAGGACTAAGTTGTAAAAAATCACAACTTAATTTGAAAATGCTGAATTTTAAAGAAAACTTTGTGGTGCCCTAGAACTATCTCAGGAATATGGATTCAGCTTGCTGTGGCACAAAAAGACTGCAAGAGCACTTAGTTTTAATTTGTCCTGAGAATTGGGAGGTGTAGAGTAGCTAAGGTTCAAATCCAGACATATGAAAAAAGGTAACATGTTCACAATAAAATGTTAAACAAAAGAATGGAATTTTTCTTTGATCTTTGCTAAATACGTCAGCATTCAGCTTTCTCTGTTGCAAGATGGCAAGAGGAATGAGTCTAGAAGAAAGATATTTTTTCAATTTATTTTCCCTTTTTATTTATTGGAAATAAGCAATTTAAAAGGGCATTAAACTAAAGAGTAAGAAAAAAAAATATCCTGGGGATATTTTGGGAACCAAGTTATAGGTTCAGGATAAAATAAAAATTAAACTTGAGTGTTGAGATTAATGCTGTGACATTACTTAATATTTTTAAAAATTATTAAATAGGCCACCAGTGTTCCTGGTAGAAGCAGAAAAATCAATTCCTACTGAAAATAAACAACTTGTGAAACCATACTGGTTCATTAATTAAGATTTTCTACCTGTGATTTGTAGGCCAAGAACTCAACACTGAAGGGACAAGTAAGAAGTTGAAGAAAAATCCATTATGTCACATGAAATAGAGTGTGGAAAACTGCCTGAATATATTTTAGAAATGT